ACGGGAAAAGTCATCCAATGATTTTCCCCTCTTAAAAAATAGCTGTAGTAAGTATATTATTCTTCAAGGCCCGAGTGAATAAGTTGCGTAAGACGTGCTCCATCGTAGGCCGCATCATCACTGACCACCGCGAGATAGTGGTCCAACGTCGGCCCATCAAATATATAAAAGATGTACATCACACGTATATACTATACAGTAGTAGGTATATATGCCGAGCTCACCATCGTGTCCACAATTCTAAATTTGACATCAGAACAAAAGAACACAAGCTGTATTCTATTCATTATTGTTGTATACCATTGAAGTAGTTCTACATACAAACAAGTGTTCGAGTGTTCCCTTGTATCGTATGTAGGCAACCAGGCACACCGCAGGCGGTAGACTGCACCGCGACGCAGCACTCGTTGGAGACACGGTTCAATGAAAAATGTGCGCATGCAATACGTTATCGCTGAGTAACGGAAGCTCCGTGCGCGGGCGCATGCACATTGAGCAGCACCTTTCACCTCGCACCACACATATTGGGCCGGAAGTGGATAATTAAATCATTACTTTATAATTCTGATATGGCCTAATTCATCGGGTGCTATTTGCTTGAAAATTACCTTAATCGCAGTGAAATAACAATAAGAGTTAGTGTAAAGCACCGTGGCGACGGAGGCGCGGTCAACACTCGCTAACAATAACAAGGAAGCGGCGCGCGGCGGCGGCGGGCAGCGCGCGGCCCGCGGCCCGCGTGCGAGCCTACTGCCGCGCATACCCGCCTTTATCTAATCGCTGCAAGATAAACTGCTACGACTCCCGCGTGTCTCGCGAGCCGCTTCTTGCTTCCGACCAGGACTCGCCAGCGGCCTTCGCGGCGAACGACCTCGCTCCGAGCGAGCTCGAGCCAGCTTCGTGAACTCCAACTGGTGCACGCCATATAAAAATGGTGTTCGAATGCTCAGCGATAAGGAACAGCGCGAACTTAATGGTAGGAAGTCCGCAGGGGGCGCACGGCGACTGCGACTCTATGCCCGCGCAGCACGATACAAAACGGCGCGTCGCCACATGCAGTGCATGCAACGGTTCGAGTGCAGCGGCACTCGCGCGTTCAACTTAGTACCTACGTCATGAACCTAGGCTAGATCTAAACAAAGAATTGCGATTTCGTGATAAGGCGGCACATACTATACAATATTTAACTTACATATGTAACTTGATTGACTCGTATCTATCACCGAGTCCTACACAAAATGCAAGTCACGATTGCTTCATTAGGTTATGTCTATTTCTTTTTCCATAGTTTTTCTTATATTTTGATATAATGTCATTACGTGGGCTAATTGTCCCAACGTCAGAGAAATCATTTTGGATATTTGACACTTCACCCATATTAATATTTATTTTATAAAATTGAAAAAAAAAATCGACTTCACCACCTCTTTTTTGAAGTCGGTTAATTAATATACTCAAAACTTCTCCTACGTGTAAGAATTTTTTTTTTTGGAAATCGTATCAATATCGGATCAGTCAATTGCAAGATAATCGCGCACAAATGTACATAAATACACACACACATACATACATACATTCATACATATATACATACATCCATATATATACATACTGAGAACCTCCTTTTCTTGAAGTCGGTTAAAACCTGTGAAATGTCGAGCGAGCCCGGGTGCACCCCGGCAGTCCGGGGCAGGGCCTCGCCTTTCTGCTATAGTACTGGATACTGTACTATTCTCGTCCATCTTATTATGATTCAATTATGAATTAACTTCAATTTACACCACCGCTGAATGGAACGGAGTGGAATCGTCAATTTCACCTCACGACGAATCACTAGAATGGCTGTTCGCGCCACTTCCAGTAGATTCCACAGACGGCACCAGGAAAAAGAGAATGCACGAGGATTACACGGAAAAAGCACTTTCAATTTTTTGGTTCGCATTGAATTTGTGTGTTATAAAGTTCATTATGGTATGTACAGTTTCCTTGCAAAAAGTCTATTTCAATCCTCCGTGGTGTAAATGAGCCTCAAATTATTATTATTATCAATTGAGTTCCCTAAAGCAAAAGCAAAAATGTTAAAAATGCGTCTGTCAAGATCTCGTTATCTCCGCAAAACGTAGAGGCATTACACCGAGTTTTGTTTTTTTAAATGATCAATATAGTTCTATTCGCTTGTTCTCAATATTCTCTGCGGTAGCCTTGAATTTAAGGACCCGAGTCAGAACGGCACGCAGCAAAACTATCACAAACTGTGGAGAATCCTCTGTGCTGGCCAGCAACATTTTTTTTTGAGGGGATAAATCTAATTGACGGGAAATGACAAGGCGGGAGGCCTTGGGTAAACCGAAAGGTAGTGTTAGACTCTTACTAACTAAAAAGCACCCTGTACCTACCTACTGGTTAGGCATCAGCCCGAGGAGTATCGTTCCCTCACGTGCTCCGCTTCCTTTTTGGTTGCCCTCAGATTTTTCCCAGAGGAAGCGAGAGGTTGCTGTTGCCGATCACTTCTATGCTCCACCGAGTTCTCCGGGTGGTCCTAGAATTAAGGACACCCAGCCGTTTTCTCCCACTGAATCGAGTCGAATTATTTAATACTAGCTTTTACCCGCGGCTTGGCACGCGTCACAAAAAGATAAAAGTAGCCTATGTGCCTATCCATCCCTTCAACTACCTTCAGTTAAAAATCACGTTAAGCACCTCAGTTTTGCCGACAGGCAAACAAACAAATAGCTGTTCGCTGGCGTGGAATTCGATTATATCGCGTTATTCCGTGGGAATTAGAAGTTCTGCCGCGGTAAAGCCTTGCTTTTCCAGGACTTACGCTACCTTTGTACTAAATTTCTTCAAAATCCTTTCAGCCCTTTAGCGTGAAAGAACAACAGAAGGAGTTATTTTCGCATTATCACAAATACTATCCTCCCATTTTAATTTAAAAGACTTCTATTTCCTATAAGGGTTTCATTTGCAATGTTAAACCAAAACAGAGTGGTAAACTATATTATACGTTTTATTATCGAAAACCTAACTACTTTAGACATCTACTTAGAAATAAACCACTTCACTAATCTAACTTAACTAATATACAGTACAGTAGCTGTATATTAGTTAAGTCAATCAAAGTAAACAATGAACAAAGCGACTTAAAACGACGAAAAAAATAATGACTTTAGATAATAATATCTATCTACCATTAAAAAAAATAACACTTGACTAATTTAACCTACAGAGCGAACAAATAAAAATACCATAGTGCTAAATGCGTTCACCGAATTACAATTGTTTCGGAAGCTCGGAACCTATACTTTCGCCGGTAACGAAACCATAGCGCCATCTAACTCGATCCTAATGCCATCTATTGAGCGTTGAAACAAGAGCGAACAATATATTCGTGTACCTTTAACAACCTAAAATCTATAAAATATGCAAATTCATGTAAAATGGTTGGAACCAAAATTTAAAAGCGAAAAATACTTAAAAAACACAACGTTACCACGTTTTTAAAAATGACATATAAAACAGCAAATAAATGAGTCGAAAAGTGCACCGAATAAGTGCAGATTAACACCAAATAAGCGCTATAGATTAAAGCGTGAAATTTCCAAATAGTTGAATTGTTTTAAATGGCATACAGCGCCATCTATTGGTAGTAATATTTTTGTTTTCCCTCGGGAATATCACATTTTTCCGGGATATAAAGTACCCTATTATTTAATCTGGGCTTCAAACTTTACGTCTGCAAAATTTCAAAGCAATCGGTTTAGTAGTTACGGCGGGAAAGCAGAACAAACAAACTCAATTTCAGATTTATAATATTATATAGTAAGGACTATTCATCACTCCCGTTACCTACTCTTGCGAGTATTTGCAAAGAGTGGTTTTTTTCCTACTGCTGTCTAGAACTGGAGAGCGTTCTGTGGACAACGTACTCAGGACATCTGGGAGGTGGTGATCCGAATGGTCGATACTATGTGTTTCAGTGCTTTTCGCTAGATATAAAGTAACGATTAGACAGGCGTTTCTAACAGACTGGAAATAACAAAGTCAAAGTCAAAATCATTTATTTCAATTATATCAGAAAGGCACTTTTGAATGTCAACAATAAAATTAAAAGTAAAGCTATTCGCTTATTCCAAGATGTAGATTCCTATGGAGAAGAACGAACAAGAAACTCCATAGGTTACTCTTTTTCAATCAGGTTCACAATACAATTCTCTAGTTACATAGTTTGCTGTTTGGATTGTGCGAGAACAATGTAACACTAAAATCCAGTCAAAGTGATCGAAAAAGAAAATGACCTTAAAGACAATAAATAATACAGTTTGGAGCTGACCAGTCCCAGTTGACGGCGCCCGTAATACGTACTACGTTACGATTGCCGACAAGTCAACGGAAGACGAGCGGTCGCGTCATGTACAACATTCAGCTGATTTTGGTTAACACTTCGCCCAACCAAAAACTAACAAGTTCAATCTTGAAAGGCAAGCACTATCAAGTGCGGCGGTTGTCTGTTTTTAGTGGGTAGTATTTAATTTTTGTGGTTTACAACGGAGTCTTCGCAATAGGGGCCCGATATTAACATCTGTACACAGGAGTGTCTGAACTGGTATGATGAACATTATAAAATGTTCAGCTAAAGCCCAGCCTGCGTCCCATTACTTACACCTCTATTGTTGATATTTTTGTATATAACATTACCTATTTCTAGGTCACGCAAGTTTTAAAAGTTTAAGTGTATCAGCTGGGCATGCTGTCAGTGTATCGTTCAATAAGTTTGTGTGGCGATGATGCTAATTAATTGATTGTCAATTACCAACTTTAAATTTTTTTTATATGTAGGTATAGAGGTGTAAGGCGCTCCGATTTCTTATTTAGCTTTATGTTTCGATTAGGTTGCACCGATTTTTAAGTACAATAATTTTAGTCAAATTCCAACGCACTAATGCAGAAGATATCTCGTATGCAGTAAAAACAGTTCAGGCGCTAACGGATAGACTCACCAAAGTGATACTCGTTCTTTGTAGTGGCCATTGTGCAGTCAGTCCAGTGGCAGGTACAGGGCGCCCGGCGCACAGGGCGTGTGGAGGGCAGTCAGAGCGCGGCCGCCTGGCGCGCGTGGCACAGCATCACCGCGGACAGCGGCGCTACGAGCGCGCAAGAGCGAGGTGCGCGTGCGCGCGGCCGGTGATAGCG